CACTCCTCGAGGGTGTGCTTTACCGGGCCCTGATGGTATGGGCAGGGTCTTTTAAGCATGTTGTCGAAGAGCCCTGGGCCTCAGGGATTCTTGCGGTCTGTGGCCGTGATGAGCCTGGCCTCGAGAACCTCCTGTTTCCCCTGGCGTCCCTTCTTCTTTTTTCGGGGGGTGAGACGTCGAGGCCCCGGGGGTCTCATCCCGCCTCTTCCCCTTAGAGTCGTTGTTGGGGAAGATGGCCCCGACGGCCTCTTCGCCAGAGGCGAAGCTGGTGGCGATGTCGAGGAGTGCGGATGCCATGGTAGGTACGCTCCGACCTAATTCTCGAACCAGGTCTCGACAGGTGGTGCCGGAGAGGAATGCCTGGACGATTTCTGAGTCGCCGACGCTGGGCAACTTGGTGCATTGCTTGGAGAAACATCGGATGAAGTCTCGGAGAGACTCGTCCGGCCTCTGGTGGCAACTCTTGAGGTCCTAGGAGTTCCCGGGGCGCGCGTAGGTGCCCTGGAAATTCCCGACGAAGACCTTTACCAAGTCGCGCCAGTCGTGGATTTGCATAGGGGAAGGTGTTCGAGCAGGGCTCATGTTGAAGTCGACAGAAATAGGGGAGGTTGCGGATGATGAGCAGGTCATCGTCGCAGACGCTTAGCCGACAAGCAGGATGGTAGTCGGCCAACCATAGCTCGGGGTTGGTCTCGCCGCTGTACTTTGAGAGATTCGCTGGCTGACGAAACCGGGCTGGGAAGCGGGCGCTGCGGATGGCCTTACTGAAAACTCTAGGGCTAGGCGGCCCGGGAGAAGGACTGCGGTCCTCCCCACTGTCATAGCGACCGCCTCGGTGCAATTGGTAGCCCCGGGCGGCCCCATCGTGGTCGTGGCACCATCGTCTGCTGCCCACGTGGTGGTCGTTTTGCGCCTCGCGTTGGTCGTCGAGGCGGTCGTGCACCGAGGGGGCCCTGAGGCGGTCGTGCACCGAGGGCTGTTTCGAGGCGTCCCCGCGTTGTCGAGACGCGGAGCTTTTAATTTCGCTTGCACGCATGGCGATCTCGAAAAGGCCCCGGAGTTCGCCGTGGACCCGTCCCCCTCCGTGGTAGAGGGCTCGGGCATCGCTTCGGACCAAGATCGCCGCCAGAACGACGTTCGCTAAGCGCGATTGAAAGGCGGGGTTGCTCGCCCCCTCATCATCATCGCATCGCGGCGGTTGACGCCGCGAGAGCCTGATCGGGCCGTTCCGCCATCATCGCGCCCCCGCTGCTCTTGCTCGAGGGTGGCTCGGAGCTGCTGTAGGAGGAGTCGATCTTGCTCGACCTTGGTTTGAAGCTCACGGAGCTGCTCTAGGTCTATGCGTCGAAGTTGCTCGGGGGTGGGGACACCTGCCGCCGCTGGCGGGGACCCCGTGCGTGGTGGTGTGGCATTGGCTGCCCTTCCTCCATCGTTGCCTGTGCTCGGCATTCCGAGTCCGATGTGGAAACACTCACGAGTTGGGTCGTAAGCGTCCTCGTCGTCAGAATCGGAGTAGCCGAAGCAGTAGTCGCTCGTGATCATGAAGCGGCGCATTGCCTCAGGGTCGCGAAGCCCGAAGAAGTCTGCTCCAACCCATGCCTCGTCCTCCTCCGAGGAGTCAGAGTGGGGGTGGATTGGAGTTGTGTCTATGGGGTTATGGGCATGACGTTGATGAATGGAGACGAGGGCGGTGGCATAGGAGGCGGCGACATTGGTCAGCCCAAAAGGGTATGGGGATGGCGCCGTCGCCAGGCTCGGCTCCGCCAGAGCTGGCTCCTCGGGAGGAGGCGGGACAGAGCTTGATGATGGGGCGTCGCTGTGCGCCACCGGCCCTTTTCCCCTGTCGAGGCTTAAGCCGGACAGTCCCCGTCTGAGGACTCTGTGCGGCGGCGGGTATGGGATTCGATGGAGTCTGGATCGGCGCTCAGATTGCTTGCGGTGTTAGGGTGGACTCGCCCGCACGGCGCTTGGCGAGCTTGACGGGAGCGGCAGCCCGGGCACCGTCCGCGCGTGAGCTGCCGGTGCGTGACGTCATCGTCGGTTGATGGCGCTCTGGGTGAGAGGAGTACCATGTCGTACTCGTGCCCTAGAGACATGAATTCTAGGCTCCCGAACCAGACGATCGTCCCGAGACACAACGATCGCACGGGATCTGCCATCCGGAATCTGGTGGGATGACTAAAGTCGACACGCAGAGGCCCCTACTGGCGCATGGCTAATCGCCGGTGTTTGAACCGGGGTCCTTAACCGACTAGTGAATTTGTGCTGCGTGCTCCCAATTCCGGATGGTGATGCAAAGAGACACAAGGTTTATCTTGGTTCGGGCAATGGATGCCCTACGTCCGATCGAGAAGATGTTCTTGTATTCCTTGCACCGGGTGCTCGTAGTAGGGGTTACAAGCTAGGCGAGAGAGGAGTTTGTCCCGGTCTCTCGTGAGGGGAGGTGATATGAATTCTGAGAATGAGGCGTGTTGTTCGTGCGAGTATTCGTGACTCTATCCGCCGCCCCTAGAAACGGTCTGGCCACCTCTTTTTTATAGCCGCAGGAGGAAACCAGGAGTACATAAGAGAGCTACGTGGAGCGGACTATTCGATGACGTATTTACTCTCGGAGCAAGAGCATGGCGTTGTCGTGGGAGTTCCGTAGATGTCTAATCGGTATGGTCTCCATTGCAAGTAACATGCTACGCATTTGTTGGCTTGGTGGATTGCGAAGCTCGGCGGCCATCATAGCCGGTCGTCGTGCGAGGCTGTTGTGCCGAGGGCTGCCAGCCGAGGCTCTGCCGTCGAGAGGCCCGAGAAGTGACCAGTGCGGATGCGGGTCTCGCCGCCATCAGCGGAATAGTGCGAGATGTGCGCCTACAGGATATCTGGTACTGTGTTGTCGATGGGGATGGTAAAAAGGTGATCGAACCGTTGTCCCGTCGCTCTGTTGCGGCAAGACCGCCGATCGTGGCTTACGTGAAGCGGGTGCGGTGGCGCATTAATCGGATGCGATAGCCTGCCAGAGAGACCTTTGAGGCGGAGGCGACGAGGTTGCGGGACGAGCCCGGCCTCGGGCGAGGCGGGAGGGGCCAATTGGTCGTCGAGAGGCCCTCTACCGGGGTCTCGGGCGAGGCGACGGGCGAGGCGGAGAAAGATCGGTGATCCGAGGCCCCGCCGAGGGGGCTCGGCGAGACGGAGCGGTCGGTCCGCTGATTCCGAGGCTACTGAAACCGTTCGACTCCCCACGTTGCGATGTCTTTGTGTGCAGGAGTTAGGGCAAGACAGACGGTGGTCGGTAACCTCGCCTGCTGTGCTCGCGAGATGGCGGGAGGTTGACGACGCTTGGCGGCGTGTAGTCGGTCACTTATGCATCTTGTGCCATCATAAATGCGTCTGTCGGAGTGGTTGGGCGCTTGGATGCGACGTTCGGTCGAGCGATTCGGTCAAGAGGCGGTCACGGGTGGTCCCGAGCCGGCCTCATGAATCGAAGAATCGGCACTTCTTCCGAGGTCCCGGCGAGGGGGCTCGACGAGGGGGCCTCGAAGGCGGTCTCAAGTAGTCGGAGAATCGTTTGCTTCATTGGGGCTCGGTGACGGGGTCTCGGGCGAATCGGAGATTTCGGCCGAGACCTCGTTTGTTTATTCCGTTGGTTCTGTTTTTAGGGTCTAAGCAGTTTTTCGATCTTTGCTTGGGGTACCCCATTTTCTGGTATCCGACAGTAGCAAAAACTTACCAATCCATGACCTGCTGGATCTTGGGCTCGAAGTCCTTAGCCTGGCAAGCGTGCACACAGAGAACACAAGCAAAGGACGTCGATTGACCTCCTCCTAAGAAAGCGAGATTTCAGACAACCAGAACTATTAGACTTCTTTTTTCAAAAAAAGAAAGAAAGAAAGAGCATAAACCAATTTGACTATGCAATAAATTACCATCTGCACAGAGAACACAACATTCATACCATAAGAATTTTGTTCCGGTACGATCCAATTCAAGATACAGTGCTAATTCAAGACCATGATTTCCAAACTAAACTGACATGCATTCATATATCCATGAACAGGCATCCATGATTTCCAAACAACAGAAACACCCTCCATCGATCCATTCATATATCCATGAACCGACAATTCACCACAGTAGGCACAACACAAGGATACACTTGTAAATGGATCAGATCTTAACACAAATAAGCAAATAGCTAGTTAGGGCTCGAGTGCTCAGATTTGCACCATAGCAGGAAGGTGAGCTCACCCTGGTGGTTGAGCGTTGATGGCCCGGCGCAGCCAGCATCAGGCGGCCACATCCAGGGGGACCGCGCCTCCAGCCACGGCAGTGGCCCGGGCAGCCACGGAGCCGGCCACGGCGGAGGCCCGGGTGGCCGCGCCCCTAGCCAAGGAGGTGCCAGGGAGCCGCGGGGCCAGGCTCCTTGCCGGCCTGGCCGGCCATGGTTGCGACTCCGGCCGCCGGGGGCCAGCCACGTCGCGACCTCGCGGCGGGGGGGAGGCGGGGGGGGGGCGAGGACGGCGCTCTCGGCGCGACTACAACTAGAGGTGAAAACGGTACGGATATTTTCCGACCGTATTTGATATCGAATCCGTTTGGAGGGTTAAAAATCTGTCCGTATCCGAGTCCGAATATTCAACATCCGATTTCGTATCCGTATCCGAATACTCAAATCGTATATTTATGATATCGATATCCAATCGTATCCTATCCGGCATGATTGACACTATCCGTATTCAAATACAAATCCAAACAGAAATATAAAAACAAATATAATATCAGTGATATCCGTCCGTATGCGATCCGTTTTCGTCCCTGACTACAACTTCAACCCGTCGCAGTACAAGATCCGGTAATCCGGTACGCAGTCATAAGTCGGTCGACACGGACCATAAATTGGGAATAGATTGCGGCCGCTTCTTCGAATCGAATCCACCCCCCACTCCGTTACTTTCCTTCCGCCGCAAGCTGCCGCCACCGCTGCGCGTGCTCCAGCCGCCGGCTCCCCTCCGATGGGCTCCACGTGCCTGTCGTGCGGCGAGGGCGCTGTGGTGGCGGATCCGGACTCGGGCGCGCTCGTCTGCACCTCCTGCGGCGTCATCCAGGACGCCGGCGGCGCGGAGTTCGTCCACCAGTCCACCTTCAACGACTCGGGGGGCCTCGATCTCCGCGTCTCCTCCCTCGTCCGCAACAGCTCCGACTCCGCCTACCGCGACCAGAAGCTCGCCGTCGCCTCCGCGGGCATCACCTCCATCGCCACCCGCCTCGGCCTGTCGCCGGCCCGCGCCGAGGAGGCGCTCCGCATGGCCAAGTCCGCCACCGACGGCCAGCTCGCCACCCCGGGCAGCGCCTTCCTCCCCTCCCTCGCCGCCGCCTGCACCCTGCTCGTCGCGCGCTCCCACCGCCTCCCGCTCTCCCTCGCCGAGGCCGCGGAAGCCGCCTTCTGCTCCGTGCCCGCCCTCGGCGACCTGGTCTCCCGCGTCGCCGCCCAGCTATCGCTCCCTCCCCTCCCCTGCTTCGACTACGCCGCCGCGCTCGACCGCGCCGTGCAACTCTCGCCCTCGCTCAACGCCGCGGCGGCCCACAAGACGGACGCGATTCTCGCCCAGGCCCGGTTCCTCTTCCGCTGCGCCTCCAAGTGGTCGCTCACCACCGGCCGGTTCCCGCTCCCCCTCATCGTGGTGCTGCTCGCCTTCTCTGCGGAGGTGAACGGGGTCACTTCTCTCTCCTTGGAGGACATTGCCCGGGACATCTCGGCGGGATTGAGGACCAGCCTCCGCCGATACAAGGAGCTCGTTGACACGCTGGTGCATGTCGCGCGCCACCTGCTTCCGTGGGGCGCCGATGTCAATGCCAAGAACCTGCTCCACAACGCTCCGGTCCTGCTCCGGCTCATGGAGATGCGCTCACAGTCGGACCCTTCTGAAGAGTTTCTTGAGAGCTTTGCTCCGAACATTGCTGCAATTGTGCAGGCGTACTCTAAAGTTGACGACGACGAGTCCAAATACCTTCATATTACTCCTGTCAGTGCTGATGACTTTGATTTCGATAATCTTGAGCCAGAGGAGAAGGAATTTGAAAACCAGAATATCTCAGAGAAGGGCCTATCAGATGCTTACAAAAATGTCCTAAATAGGCTTGCCCAGCTACAGAAACTTGGGAAGGTTGGTAAAGGTGCTGACAGGAGGAAGCGATTGAAAGGAGGAATGGAGCTGGAGCCGTGTATGGACGCAGTGAATAATGGTTGGAAAAAGGACATGCTGCTTGAGGATGTGGTGGATATTGACATTGGCTATGATGCACCTCCACCATCGTTTACTGCTGGTTTGGAGTTGCAGAAGGAGAGGAGAGCACGTATTGAAGTTGCCAAGCAGCGAATTGATGCGATTAGGAAGGCTCCAGCTCCAGCTGCAAAAGCAAATAATTCAGAATCAGAAGATGTTGTAAGAAACGAATATGTCTCTCCCCCGCAAAAATTGACCAGGAAGAATCGAGGGGGAAAGAAGATGGATGATATAGATCATATCCTTCTCAGTGACAATATGGCAGATAGTTCAGGTGCCAGGAAAAAGAGACGAAGAAGAGGTTCCTGTGACGGTATCGATTGGGAAGATTGCATTATTGAGCTCCTGCTCCTGCATGGTGCAAATGAAGCTGAGATCGAACAAGGCCAGTACAGAAGATTGTTGGAGTTGAATGTATTCAGTGCAGTAAGTGGGGGGAAATTGAATAATGGCAATGCCATTCTCAAGTCTTCAGTATGTGATGATCCCAATCATTCTGAATGAACATAGCCTCATACTGTTCTAAGTTTTTGCATTCTTTTAGTGAAATAGAAAGCTCATGCTGAATGCTGAGTGCATTTTTTTAAGTTAGATCAAGCTAATTGTGGGAAAACAATATTATGATAGAGAATAGATGATAACACGCAAAATATTCTTTTTGTGCTGCCCTACTAATGAAGGAAAAGATCGAAGTTAGGAATGATACAGACAATTCCATGCGCTTATTTAACTGGAGGTGTAATTTTGTACATTGCTATACATCTCATGAACGACATGCATTTATAGACTCACATTCAAAATGTACTGTTCTACTAATATGAGTGTATCACAGCTGAATCCACTGAGTGAAAAGTAGGTTCGTGCAATGCACATATCTGAAGAGGCTTGTGTTCAAATGCCATGTTAATTGATTGAAAGTAGTTTATGATGCGCCTTTGGCCTTTTATTGGAGATAATTGGTGAGCACTTGAGTTTCTCTTGAACAAAGCTATTCGTGCGACCTGCGTTCGACCCATTTCATCCACCCAATCACAGTGCTCAGGAATCATCCACAAGGCCCCACTCAAGAAGCAAGTCTATAGAAGTCGTACCTAGGTTGAGCTCATAGTCATTTCAATTTCTCTTCTTATCTTTTACCTTCTCCTGTATCCTTATATCTTACTGAAGTTTTTTGAGGAAACGGGAGGGGTAGCCCCCTAGGTTGGGCTCATAGTCATTTCAATTTCTCTTCTTATCTTTTACCTTCTCCTGTATCCTTATATCTTACTGAAGTTTTTTGAGGAAACGGGAGGGGTAGCCCCCTACTGGTTAATATATATAGAAGAAAAAAGATGTGTCCATGCAACAGAATTCAAGAAATAAAAAGAACAAAAAGAATATAAAGAACTTACTGAAGGTTGAACTCAAAGAACTGACTCCCAGGTTATTCATGCTATGCGCTCCCTGGTACTCAAATGTTTTCTTTATCAGTTAATGTTCTAAGGGTTAAATTTCGTAGCTGGAGTTCCTATAGTTTAGAGCTCATACATTCATACTGTACAAACAGATCTTTCTCCAGATTTGGATAAGGTATGAGCTTAGTTTTCAGTGTTTTCCCCTACAATGTAGAAGTTCCTTAGATCTTTTGTTTGTCCTGATTTTTTTTGATCTGATGAAAGATTGAAACTCATGTATTTTCGTGGGCTTTCAAGAAACTCCTGTGAATGAATTAGTTGGGGATTCTTTCCCTCCAGGTGACCATTAAAAAAAAGTATATGCAGAGTTAGTAAGCTGTATTCTATTTGTGCCTTTGGTGTAGTTGTTTTCCCTGCATATGACCTTGGTGGTTTTAAAAGGAAGCTATTATACTGTTTTGCTACTAAGAACGAAAACATACGACATCACTTTACCTTAAAAATTTTATTACTTGTCAGTTAATTCGATAAATCCGTATCCAGCATTATGTTTGAAAAAGGTAAATCAGAGAGGGAGAAGAGAACCAGTGAAGGGAAGAGGTTCAGCATTATGTTTGAAAAAGGTTAATCAGAGAGGGAGAAGAGAACCAGTGAAGGGAAGAGGTTCAACATTATGTTTGAAAAAGGTAAATCAGAGAGGGAGAAGAGAACCAGTGAAGGAAAGAGGTTCATTGAAGTACTGCTTAGTGCACGGCTCATACAGAAATAACGATGACTGGTTAATTGATGATTCAGTTGTTTCTTCAGGCTCTTGGAGAATCAGTTCTGCTGGGTGCAGTTTATAATCACACATGAATATTACTATATCTTGACAGCTTTGAATCATCAATCAGGAAGCGAAGGCAACAGCTAATTAAAGATGGTGAGCAATTGAAAGGGACCTCCTGGGATATAGGCTGGGCCGGCTCACAGGTTGGAGAAGCAAGTGGGCTACAGCGCTGGACTTGTCTTGGCCCATCAACGAACCAGGGCAGATGCAGCACAATTACATAGGCAAGGGAAACGGAGGGGGTGTCGAAGGACCAAAACACGAACCCGGCGGCGAGCTTTGCTCGAAGCGAGTCTGCGGACTCGAGTTACCCTTCCTATTCCCCTTCTTCTACTGTTGCGTACAGGTCTAGATCCTTCTAGAACCTTCCAAAACTTGTATGCTAGTTCGTATGCTGTTTCTGTGTGCCCAATTGTTGAGCTGAGGATTAGGTCAGCGACAACTAGTATCAGAGCCACTTCGATCCAGAGAGTCAAACCGCCACGATGATAGAGGAGTTGTTTGTCGAGATCCTGACGAGGTTGGAGGAGATGAATGCTCAGCTGCACAGCCTCGTCGAGCCATCGGCGTCCTCACGCCATCCACCGACCTCCACCCCCATCGTCGACGTCGGCATCGAGGACCGCGAGCACGAGGTCACCACCCTTGTTGCCGCAAGCTCCAGCAGGGCGGCAACGCCCTCCTCAGCTCCTCCCGCACCTTCGTCAAAACACACATCGCTCCAGGAAGCCACCCTTGCCGTCAACATCGCCACCCCGAAACACCCGCTGGCTACGCGCACCAACTGTTCGATGTTGGGTCACAACACGGGCGACCCCGTTCTGGTGCCTTTCGCGGCTTCCTCCTCTCGCGCCACCGCCACCACGGCGATGTTGCAAGTGCCATGGTCGGCCTCCCCGCGCTCCTCCTCGGCTAGCGCCGACGCGCCCCGACCTGCGCTGTCCTCGAGAACAGCTACATCCTTCTCGGCTCCTGCCGCGACGCGCAGGGACGCGCACGACCTTGTCATCCGCCTCAACAACGATGGCACCCTTGGCGGCTTAGGACATCTCCCTCGTCCCTGTCGCCGACACCGACAACAGCGGGCGTGAGGTCGACATTGTTAGATTGATCCCACTAGTTGGCCCAACGGCCAATTGGGCCTTGATCCGCGTCCTGATCGGGGGCGTCTAACCCTAACTATGGTTGGTAGGCCCTCGTCGCACAGCGCCATAAAAAGGGAGGTGGGGGACAGGGCACAAGGCACGAGGTTCACCTGAGCCGCCACAATCCCCACCTACATCCTAACCCTAAGCCGATCTAGAGAGGGGGCGCTGCCAGCGACAGGAAGCCGCCATCGTCGCGTCTTCACCGCCGCCTCTGCGACCGCACCTCCACCGCGTCTTCGACCTCACCGTCAGACACCCGCGTCATCGACACCGATGCCATGGCCAGCTCGTCTACCTCCAAGGCGACCGATGGTTTGCTAACCCCGGATCCCCCTCTCTCACTCTGTTTCCTCGTACTAGTTCGTGTTCTAGGGTTTACCATATTTTAAATTCAAGTTCATACCCGTTAGATCTACTGCTAGTCAGTCCTATTAATCTATCATTGGTATCAGTCGCCTATCTAGTGTGTAGATCCAGATCGGGGTAGAAAACTGAGTAGAAATTAAGGAGGTGATTCGATTCGTTTCGGATCAAACCCTAACCCTAGAAGAATGGACAGAAAGGGGAGGGACCTACCTGGTTTTCTCGCCGCCGTCGCCACCGCTGTCGTGGGGAAGAAGATCCCGCCACCGTGCACGAAGTCGTCAGAGCCGCATCAGGTAGCGCCGCCACCACCGTGAGGCTCCTCGTGTGCGCGCGTGCGTCCGATAAAGGGCGCCACAGTGGTGTCGCTCGACGGAGCCGCGTGCAGCTTCGGCTGCGCGCGTGCGCCGGCGAGAGGTGCTGCAGTGACGCCACCATCTCCTCCCATCACGTGCTCGCTGGTCGCCGGCGTCGGCTGTGCTGCTGCGCGTGGAATGAAAGAGAAGGAGAGAAAGAACCGAATGAAGTTAGGGTTTGGTCGAACCAGCGCGGCGGGGGTTTTTGTTCCGCCGAGATCGTCGCCCGACCGTCCGATCGCAATCAACGGATCAGATTGCACGGGTCGGGATTCAGCCCAGGCGGGCGAATGAATTCCCGGCCCAGGCCCTGGTTGCGGCCTAGGCGCGGGGGAGAGCGGCACGAGTGGCCGCCGCGGGCCATTTTGCCCTGCTGGGCTGTGGAAGAGCGTGTCTGCGTACTGGGCCACGCGCGAGCACCTGATAGGCAGGGTTGTATGCACAGTAAAGTTTACGAATTATTTTATTATTTTTAGAAGCAATTTTTTGGTGATTTTTTGTCTACTTTAAATCTTTGTCAAAATTTGAACGAACGGGATAATTTTTTTAGAGAGGAGATGAGCACAGTAAAATACTTCTGAAAAGTAGATAAATTATTTTTTCATGTTTCCGCTGCAAAGTTAATATTTATTATCTTCTAATTAAATTCGAACCAACGGAAGAATTTAATTTGAAGAGCAGTTAAATTTTATTCAGTAAATTATGATATTGTTATTTTTCTTACCAACGTTGATAATAGGAATATTATAATGATTTTTCATGAGTTTTTCCATACATTAATTCTATTTCTGTCCAACGGTAATGTAGAATTAGTGTAGAAGAATGTTATATGTTGCATGTTTTAATTTTGATCAACGTTAAATTAAGGCATGCAATTATTAAGTCATATTTTCTCATTATCTCTGACGATGTTTTTCAGGACTCAACGCTATGGCATTCATCTCGCACGTACCGCCTCTTGAAGGGGCAACTATCGTGTATGGCGAGAGAAGTATGAATTAGCACTTGCGCTGTCAGAAAATGACCTAGCGCTTACCTCTCCGTGTCCTACTGAGCCAGTGGACTCGGCGAGGAAAGAAAATAAGACTGATGTTGATTTCACTATTCGGCAGCGAGATCATGCAGAAGTAAGGATGAAATATGATCTCGAACGTAAGAAATAGGACATTTCAAACCACAAGTGCTTGATGGTGGCTAAGTGCACTATTTCAGATGCGATAAAGGGGTCTATCCCAGATTATGACACCGCCACAGAGTATCTCAAGAAAGTGGAGAGTCAGTTTACTGGCTCTTTAAAGGCTTATGCCAGTACTTTGATCAAAAAACTGCTCAATGAGAAATACACTGGTGGCGGTATCAGAGAGCACATACTGAAGATGAGCAACACAGCTTCAAAGCTAAATCTAATGGATTT